AATCTGTGTGGAAGTTCTCAACATTTTCCAAAGGAAAGAGAAAAAGTGCCACTTTTGAATAATATTATCACTGGATAGAGAACATGCCAAAGACATTAAAATAATTCTACTCCAGAATGGCTAAGTTGTAAATAAATCATCTCAGGTTAATCGACCCTTGTTAGTTAATAACTGTGAAACCCTGAAGAGAAATGCTTAAAACATTATTTATTCTGTAAAGCTGCAAAACAAACTAGTAAGCAAAATAGTAAATGAACACTTTAAATAGGTTAAATGTAATGGAAACACTGCATAAATTATGTGATAGCACAGATGCAAGGAAAAGATGCTGAGATTCAGTTAATGTGTGAGCTTATTAATGAAGAACTTATCGAAAGTTCTTGTGTAGGACTGAATTCCACATTAAATGGTTCTATCAGAAGGTGAGTCCAATAAAGCCTGAGAAGGTCAGGTATGGTGGCTCATGCCTGTAATCCCAATACTTTGGCAGGCCAAGGCAGGAGGATCGCTTGAGCCCAGGAGCTCGAGATCAGCCTGGGAACTCAGGGAGAACATCCCCCACCCCCAGCTTCTCTAAAAAAAGTTTAAAAATTAGCCAGGCGTGGCAGCGCATGCCTTTAGTCCCAGCTGTTTGGGAGACTGTGGTGAGAGGATCCCATAAACCCAGGAGTTCAAGGATGCAGTGAGCCATGATCATGCCCCTGCTCGCCAGCCTGGTCAACAGAGCCAGACCCTGACTGGAAAAAAAAAAAACAAAAAAAAAAGGCAGCCCTAGATGTTACAGACCTTTCTGTTTTTAGCAATATGTGACAAAATAGATTATTGCTGCTTAATACCAAAGTACACAGTCTACCGGTAAACTTTTGTCAAGAGTTAAAGTAAGAATTGAAAAAAAAATTAATTGTCTTCCTTTGCAGATTATTGGAGAACATTTATTGGCTTGCTTTACTCATATTCCCCACCATCTGAATGAACTTAATCAAAAATTTTCAGGGACCATTGTGAATAAGTACATTATCAGGTAAAATTTACCAGTAAAATGTATTGACTATAACTTAGAAAGGTGAAATTAAACACAGTTCACCAATGATGAACTGTGTTTATCATTATAATATGAATTATAAATGTTATATGTAAATGTAAATATATTATAATATGTATTAAATATGAATTCTAAAGAAGACACTGGCTGGGTACAGTGGCTCATGCTTGTAATCCCAGCATTTTGGGAGGCCGATGTGGGCAGATCATTTGAGGCCAGGAGTTCAAGACCAGTATGGCCAACATGGTGAAACCCCATCTCTACTAAAAATACAAAAATTAGCCAGGCATGTGGCACACACCTGTAATCCCAGCTACTCGGCAGGCTGAGACACAAGAATCACTTGAACCCAGGGGTGGAGGTTGCAGTGAGCCAAGATCACGCCACTGTACTTCAGCCTGGGCAACAGAGTGAGACTCTGTCTCAAAAAAGATTAGAACAATACATTTGACCAAAGCTTTATCATTATTTTAGGAGGTTTGATATGGAAAAAACAGTTTGAATCAAAAATCCATTTGCTTTATCACAAGAACTGTCAACTTTACATTTGTTAATGAAAGAAAAGGAGCTGTCACTAGATTTAAAAAATGATCACATCATTAATTACATATAAAGAAATCAGATTACCAAAATGTAGGTGAATGATGAGAAAAGTCAGTAGGAGCAAAAGCAGGAAACACTCTTCTCCCATTTGCTACCACTTACTTTTGAAGTTGCTTCTTGTTGGTAGGTACCAAGAAAATAAAGAGGTCACATTAAAGAGGCAACACCAGGAATTATGAGTAGCAATGTCAAACATAAATCTGACTTTAAAAAAGTATATTCATGAAAACACACCAAGTTCCTCAGTAAAAAATGTTAAAACATTTTATTTTGAAAGTTTTATAGAAATTTAACATTTATTGTCTTTCCTTTCCCTTGGTAGTTTCATGGTAATTACATAATATAGAGAAAACACAATGACTATTTTAGCCTTGGCCCATGTAAGATGTCCCTAAAATCCCTCAAATTTACCCCACTGTGCCATATAAATATGTTTACTTTCTTTGGTTCTTTTTTCTTTTTCTTTTTCTTTTTTTTTGAGACAGTCTCACTCTGTCACCTGGGCTGGAGTACAATGGCGCGATCTCAGCTCACTGCAACCTCTGCCTCCCGGGTTCAAGCAATTCTCCTGCCTCAGCCTCCTGAGTAGCTGAGCACTACAAGTGTGCATCACCACACTTGGCTAATTTTTGAATTTTTAGTAGAGACAGGATTTCACCTTGTTGGCCAGGCTGGTCGCGAACTCCTGACCTCAGGTGATCTGCTGCCTTGACCTCCCAAAGTGCTGGGATTACAGGCATGAGCCACCTCGCCCGGACGAGACACATTTACTTTCTATGTGTGACACTGATATGAAATCTGAGAAGCCCTGTCCATAGCTAGAGTGTCTAATATGGAATTATCTAGAACATGTGTGGTATATTTGAGTGAGGTTCAAGATATACCTTTATCCAAATATGGTGACAAATCTCAAAAGAACTGGAAAAACTGTGGTGGATTTACATGAGGTCCATCTTTACAAAATTATATTGAAAAATAAAGAATTCGGCCAGGGGCAGTGGCTCATGCCTGTAATCCCAGCACCTTGGAAGGCCAAGGCGAAGCGAATCACCTAAGGTCACGATTCAAGACCAGCCTGACCAGCATGGAGAAATCCCAACTCTACTAAAAATACAAAATTAGCTGGGCGTGGTGGTGCATGCCTATAATACCAGGTACTCGGGAGGCTGAGGCAGGAGAATCGTTTGAACCCAGGAGACGGAGGCTGCAGTGACCTGAGATCACACCATTGCACTCTGGCCTGGGCAACAAGAAGCGAAACTCTGTCTGAAAAAAAAGAAAAGAAAAGAAAGAATTCTACCGCATTAAAAAGTTAAACCACAAAACTGAAGGTAAGCTAAAGTAAACAGAGTGATCAATCATGCATGATAAACTTCAAGCTGATGCCATAATTGTAATTGCATGGTAACTTGAAGAAATATCGGATAGTAAAAGCCTAATGATTATATAACATGCTAATCTGAGTTATTCGCTTTGAATAATGGTTATATTGAGGAATTGGTGAATTTTTCCCTGTGTTCTCCTGCTTGCTTTGCTGTTTTCCCTAAATATGTCTGCTGAGATGAACTAAAGAGAATATTTTTCCATCAGGTTCTCTAAAAATCTACCAGATGGGATCTCCCAAAGAATCCAATAGGAAATATACTCTCCTAGGAAATCACTGGAGGTCCCAAACCACTCTAATATGAATGATACCAGACCTCAAAGCTACCATTGAAAATGCATAGGTAAAACATCAAATAGCAGGCAGCAAGACAGAATACTACAAGCTTTTACTTTTTCTTTTTTGAGACACAGTCTTGCTCTGTTGCCCACCCTGGAGTGCACTAGTGTGATCTTGGCTCACTGCAGCCTCTGCCTCCTGGGTTCAAGCCATTCTCCTGCCTCAGCACCCTGAGTAGCTGGGATTACAGGCACCTGCCACCACACCCAGCTAATTATTTTGTTTGTTTGTTTGAGACAAAGTCTCGCTCTGTCGCCCAGGCTAGAGTGCAGTGGCGCAATCTCAGCTCATTGCAACCTTTGCCTCCCAGGTTCAAGCGATTCTCCTGCCTCAGCCTCCCGAGTAGCTGGGACTACAGGCATGCACCATCATACCCGGCTAATTTTTATATTTTTAGTAGACATGGGGTTTCACCCTGTTGGCCAGGATGATCTCGATCTCTTGATCTCGTGATCCTCCTACCTCTGCCTCCCAAAGTGCTGGGATTACAGGCGTGAGCCACCACGCCCAGCCTAATTTTTGTATTTTTAGTAGAGATGGGGTTTCATCATATTGGCCAGGCTGCTCTCGAACTCCTGACCTCAAGTGATCCACCTGTCTCGGCCTCCCAAAGTGCTGGGATTACAGGTGTGAGCCACTACACCCAGCATACAAGCTATTTCCCTATAATATGTTGGATCACTGTTAGTACCTGGTTATACAGAATTTTCATTCCAGGAAGCACAAATGTGATATATTTACAGTAATAATGGTCAGCAGCAAATCTTTTCCTTGGGGAGGAAAGGGTGAGAAAAGAAAAAAGGAGGAAAAGAATCTACCATATAGGCCATGATAATCTTAAATGCTCTAAGCAAGCCATGTAATAGGCCTTCAAATGCATTAGAGATACATTAAAACATATTTGAAATGACATTTCCAGCATCTAAGAGTGCTTGGAACATGAATTTTAAAAAATAGTAGCAATAATTATTATTGCTGTTGTTATTAATTCTTATACTATTTTAGAATAATAAAGGAAGTCATAGACGCTGTATCTCTAGGTCTCTATAAACCTTAATAAATATATAGTTTGTAGAAAACCTTATTGAAATGTCCCTTATATTCAGTTAAAAGATAAATTAAAACCTCAGTCAAGATAGCAGCTTCTAAGGCATCGAAAACACTTAAGTTCTATACTCTTTGGTTATTTTCTTAATCCCAATTCTGAAACAAAAAATGAATTCAGCACATTAAAATCAGACACTTTGTATGTGAATTGCAGTTACAGTACTATTAAGTGTATGAAAAATGTCTAGCATTACATATAAACTCTGTACTATTAACATAATTTTGAATTATTATACAAGTTAAAAAACTAAACATTTAGAAAATGTATTAATGACATCATATATACTTCACATTCAAAATCATGGATTATTCCAATATCGTTGTTAACCTGTCAGTAGAAGATCAAATGCAAAACAAAAAATTGCATCTAATTTATCTAAACTAGCTTAAATATATAACATGGAGTTAAAACATTACAAATATTGTCTGTTGGGTTAGGTGGTAGTTACTTGAAACATTTAGAGCTACAAGTACCCTATACAGTATAATACAGACACATACTTTTTTTTCTTTGTTTTTTTTTTTATAATACAGACACACAGTAATTATAAATATGTTAAACAATTTTAACTTTGTTAGTTAACAAAGAATCCCTTTAAATTATTTTTGGCATGGTGCCTGAGGCTCCATCAAAAAACCGGATGCGAGGCGTTGCTTATTTACAGCTTCATAACACGTAGTGCTGGAGTCTTCAAGTAGATTTCCAGTTAAAATGTAGGCTTATTCATATATTCTTCCATTGTCTGAAAGCGAACAATAAATTAGAACAATTTTCCCTTTAAGTCACATCCTTCCTCAGACTGTGAAATCTTCTGCATTCTTTTATTTATTTGCCATTGTTGAAAACAAGTTGTCAAAAGGATACATGGACATAAAATCTTTGCATTCTAATCAAAGTTTGAGTATAATTTGTATACACATCCATATGGAGCTGGAATTAAGTAACTTTCAACTGAGAAAAAGTTAAGCTTGATCATAAAGGGAATGTCTGAGAAGAGAAATACTTGGCCAGCGCAGTGTTCATGCCTATAATACCAGCACTTTGGGAGGCTGATGTGGGCAGATCATCTGTGGTCAGCCTGGCCAACATGACAAAACCCCATCTCTACAAAAAATACAAAAATTAGCCAAGTGTGGTGGCATGCACCTGTATTCCCAGCTACTTGGAAAGCCGAGGCAGGTGAATTGCTTGAACCGGGAGGCGGAGGTTGAAGTGAGCCAAGATTGCGCCCCTGTACTCCAGCCTGGGTGACAGTAAGACTCCGTCTCAAAAAAAAAAAAAAAAAAAAAAGAGAGAGAGAGAGAAATGCTAAAGCAAAGTTGCCAAGATATCATTGTTGACTTAAGATAAGCATGCTTGCTAAAATGATCAGGAGGACCACATCCAGGTACCTGTATTAGAGAATTCTGAATTATATCTGTATAACATATGTATCATTACTAATATTGTGCAAAGCATCTTTATTATGCATATTGTCAAGACAAAAAAGATAAATAGACCAAAATTCTTAAGAATTCCTTTACTTCTCTACCAAGTTCACAGGAAAAAATATATAATTTCTGCCATATGTTTTCAAAGGCTTCCTCCCAAAGTATACCAATTATGTTTCTTTTTAACTTTTAAGTTTAGAGGTACATGTGCAGGTTTGTTATACAGGTAAATGTGTGTCATGGAGATTTGCTATACAGATGATTTCGTCATCCAGGTATTAAGCCTAGTACCCATTAGTTATTTTTCTGATCCTCTCCTTCCTCCCAGCCTCCACTCTCTGAAAGGCTCCAGTATGTGGTGTTCCCTTCTATGTGTCCATGTGTTCTCATCATTTAGCTCCCACTTTTAAGTGAGAACATGAAGCATTTGTTTTTCTGTCCCTGCACTAGTTTGCTCAGAATAATGGCCTTCAGCTCCCTCCACGTCCCTGCAAAGGATGTGATCTCATTCTTTTCATACTGCCCATCAGTTACTAAGTTTGCTAACATGCCCCAAAGCCATAATATTTTTTTTCAGCATTTAAAAAAAAAATGTTTGAACAGACTCACAATTACAGGTAGAGTTCAAAGTTAACAGTGGTGTTGCCGGTCCTATACCATGCCAGACAGATGGGCTTTCTCTTGCACGCTCTCCTACTTCAAACATATATATTTGTGTCACACCAGGGCCCCAGGTGGAATCAATAGGAAAGCTCAAGAGGACAAAAAGTCAATCTGCCTCTTTCGTTTGAGTCACCATCTGCTCATTTAGCAATCCAAGTTCAACTCACTCTTAAGTTTAAACCCCAGGGTATATGAATCATATGAACCTGCCGGGAAATACGCGGACTGACGTGGGCTGAAGAGACCAAGGCTACTGGCTGAGCAAGATTGCTCAGGAGATACCAGGGCTAGAAATCTGCCCTTACCTTCAAAGGAGGTTTTCCAACTGGTTTTCACCGGCTCTATCTAGAATCCCAGAGTTCCTCTGCCGAAAAATACTTGTGTTCAGTCATCCACATTTGCTCAACAAAGCTCTCACTTCCTAAGTGGGCATTGGCTGAGACAGCTCTACAGTTCCGTACCCCTCTACAGCTGCTGCCCGTGGGATCTTTTAACTTAGCAGAGGGATCATACGGGCCATTGGGCCATGCTGGTTTTGTGGAATCTAGAGTTTACACCATTTACATGGGAATATAAAGTTACAAATACAAAATCAGGTATAAAGTGTACTTAGAATGAGAAAAGAAATGACCACAGAGTATGAATTTTGAAGATGACAAATAGCACCAAATAAAAAACAGTTGCATGCTATTTTCATTAATTAATTGTTTGACACTCCTCTATCATATATTATATTGTATGGCTATGTACCTTTTGCAGTTAAAATATCTTACTTTTGCAAAGTTGACAAAAACCCATGACCAGATGGGGGCATTGCTAGGCCCTGCCTGCAGCCTTGAGAGGGGCCTGGAGATGACACTTTCCTGTCTTTGTGGTTCAGTGGCCTCTAGTCATTGGCGCTACTCACATCACCAGATGACTCAGTCTGCTAAACACCACACTGGCTGCCCTGTCTGAGCCAAGCCAGGCTGTTACTCAAGCTATGTAAACAAATAAGGTAAAAGTTGGTATTTTCTTGAGCTTGCCACTTTAAAGGTTTGGGGCAAACTTTTAGAGCTGGCAGAACCTTAGTTGCCCTTACCTTTGCAAGACAGGAGCTGGAGTCTGTATCTTGGGGCCTCTTCTGGATACATCTAGCTCTGTGGTGTTTCTTATGCGTATAGTACACTGCATGTTACGACTTCCTACTGCACTGTGGTTTGGCTTAGCTGTTAACATGGTTTACGCTTTTAAGGGTGACAGTGTTGGGGTGCACCTACCAGTTTCGCATGCATCCACACGAGGGCAGATGGTATCCTATTGCTCGTGAGATACAATCTGGCCCTTCCCTTCTTTTTTCCAAGACTCACCCAGGCTGGAGTGCAGTGGTGTGATTACTGCTCACTGCAGCCTCGACCTTTCAGGCTCAAATGATCCTTTCACCTTAGCCTTCCAAGTAGCTGGAATTACAGATGCACACCACTATACCTGGCTAATTTTATTACTTTTTGTAGAGACGAGGTTCTCACTATGTTGCCTGGGCTGGTCTCAAAACTCCTGGGCTCAAGCGGTCCTTCTGTGTCAGCCTTCTGAGTAGCTGGAATTACAGGTGCACACCACCATACCTGGCTAATTTTATCATTTTTTTTTTTTGTAGAAACAAGGTTCTCACTATGTTGCCTAGGCTGATCTCAAACTCTTGATTTAAGCGATCTTCCTGCCTGGGACTCCCAAGGTGCTGGGAATACAGGCATGAGCCATTGCACCTGGCCTTGAGCCCCTCTTCTTGACAGGCTGTTAGTCGGGGTAAAACATCTACTGTTTGTTGCTCCCACATATTGCAAGTCCTGTGGTTAATGACCACTATCACCTTTGAGAGTTTCATTTTCTTTTTTTTTTCTTTTTTTTTTTTTAAGACAGAGTCTCACTCTGTTGCCCAGTCTGGAGTGCAGTAGCATGATCTCGGCTCACTGCAACCTCCGCCCCACGGGTTCAAGCGATTCTCCTGCCTCAGCCTCCTGAGTAGCTGGGATTACAGGCGCCCAACACCATGTCCCGCTAATTTTTGTATTTTTAGTATTTTTAGTAGAGACAGGGTTTCACCATCTTGGCCAGGTTGGTCTTGAACGCCTGATCTCGTGATCCCCCCGCCTCGGCCCAAAGTGCTGCGATTACAGGCATGAGCCACTGTGCCCAGCACTTTTTCTTTTTCTTTTTTTTTTTTTTTGAAATGGAGTCTTGCTCTGTCACCCACGCTGGCAACCTCTGCCTTCTGGGTTCAAGTGATTCTCCTGCCTCAGCCTCCCAAGTAGCTGGAGTTACAGATGTGCAGCATCACGACCGGCTAATTTTTGTATTTTTAGTAGGGACAGGGTTTTGCCATGTTGACTAGGCTGGCCTCGAACCCCTGACCTCAGGTGATCCGCCCACCTCGGCCTCCCAAAGTGCTGGGCTTACAGACATGAGCCACCACACCCGGCCAGAGGGTTTAATTTTCCTTCTAATAACTTCGTGCCATTATCCACATTGTTGTTACCCCCAAATAAGTATTCACAACCAAGTAAACAGTTCCTCTCTTTTCCTCTTATCAACATCTAGCCACCACACACTCAGAATAAGCTTTGAGCATTTGGAGATTTGAGACTATGTGTCGTCTTACTAAATATGCAGGCAGGTGTAGCCTTTTAAAAGTTATTATTATTCTAAGAAACTGTTATTAAGTAGGAGTTAGAAAAAAGTCTTAGGGGCTACTGAAGATAGACAGCTGTTCTCACAGCTAAAGCAATGTCACAAAGGTCTCCCTTAATCTTCAGTTACTACAAATATACGATTGGGTCCAAAACACAGGAAAAAAAAAAAAAAGCAGTAATTGTTTTCCTTTATGCAAGTATATTACTGGCTCCTATCCAGTTTAAACTTCTTAAGCAGGCAAGATATACAAAGTCAATTTTTCAACAAGTTCCCCAAAATATTCATTGACTTCACTGAATACCAGAGCCCAAGAGAAGGCTAATAACACGCTCTGTATTTGGCAAGTGTTGTTAATGCAACAGAAGAGACTGAGAGGGCGGCCATGACATTGCCTGCTCATAATGGGGACACCGGGGCTAAATGCAAGGTCCCCTGAGACCTACCCATCAAGCCCCTCCACTCAGTCACCAGGAACATGAACTACCAATTAGCGTTTAATTGTAAAAGAGCTCACTCTTGAAATACCTAATTCCTAGACTTAAATAGAACTAGCAACACCAAATTTATGACAACCTGTTTCCTAATTTGAGAGGATTTCAAATTAACCCAGGTGTGTCTTGGCCCCCAATTCAGCTTTAATTACTGAAGTGCCACAGACCCCGTTAAAAAGTCTGTTTCTCCTGTGAGGAGATTCCACAGTCAGGACCCTGAGGTCCTGAAGTTAAAAAAAACCTCCGCCCCCTCCACCTGCCACCAACTCCCAGTATATTTTATGAAACACTGTTTTGTGAAATTTCCAAACCACCGATTTCTCAAATGCCTTGTAAAGTTTTCCTCCCTGTGGCATTTGGAGGCGGCCAAATCAACATCAGAGTTTAAATGCATTTTTTGAGGTGAGACACCTCTGGTAATGAATGCATTGGCCTGCTAATGGGCACACACAGCTGCTTACGGCACCCACTGGAATAGATGTTTCCCTCCACATCCATTCATCAGAGGACTGATCCTCTGGCTGGGCGGGAGCAAGTAATCAGCCTAAAGATGCACCAAAACAGTTGCTGGGAGTTCACACCTAATGGTGTTTTGTTAATTTAATCACCCTATTCCAAATAGCAGAAAAAAAATAGCTTTCATGCCAGTTTTACATATTGATTGATTGATTGATTGAGATGGAGTCTCGCTCTGTCACCCAGGTGGTTCAGTGGCGCTATCTCAGCTCACTGCAACCTCTGCCTCCCGGGTTCAAGTGGTTCTACGGCCTCGGCCTCCCACATAGCTGGGATTATAGGCGCCCATCACCGTGCCCGGCTAATTTTTGTGTTGTTAGTAGAGATGGGGTGTCTCGAACTCCTAGCTTCAAGTGATCTGCCTGCCTCGGCCTCCCAAAGTGCTGGGATTACAGGAGTGAGCCACTGCGTCCCGCCAAATGCCAATTTTAAAAAGGTACTTTACAATGCTGTGGATCCTCTTGACCTACTTATTTGAAAATAGGAAGATGGGAAGACCCACTGAGGCTGTGGGAAGAAGAATCTAGAGGTGGCCGGGCTGGGATGGAACCCAGGCCCTCAGAGCATCTCATCTGGGACGGCAGAGGTCAGTGAAGTGCTCTTTCTCACAGTGTCCTGGGAGGAATGAAGGGGCTAATGTAGGTAAGTTCCTTGAGGAATTATGATGTAAATCTGTGCTGCTTCTAAAAGAACATTCCCACTTTATTTTATATAGAAATCCCAGAGTCCAGGGCAGTACCAAATGGATGCTTCTGGGCCCATTTACACCTTGGCAAGCAAGCCTTGGTGTTCCCAATTTCTTTATGCAAACAGGAGCACACACACAGCCTTCCCAAAAGGTGTAAGAATTTCAATTAAAATGATAAATGCCATGCGCGATAATAAAGCTTTAATATCCCTGGCAAACAAAATAACAACGTACTGCTATTCTCCTTTCCCAGGGCAGCACAGGTATTTTAATGAAAGTCTTTTTATACATCTCATAAAATTATTCTTGAAAAGAATAGCACTAAGTATTTGATACCTTTTTGGCAGTGAAGGACTCTTGCACTCCAAAGCTCAGCCAAACGTGAAGAACAAAGACTCTAAAGCCCGATTACCTGGGTTCAAATCTCTACTCCACACTTCCTAGCTGTGTGAAATTGAGCAGGTCATTCAACCTCTTGGGGTCTCGGTTTACTCATCTGTAAAGTGGGAATAACAACACCACCTACCTTTTCAAGTTGTCGTGAGAATTAAATAAGCTAATACATATAAATAGTTCAGAAACTGTACCCAGCACACAGTAAGTACTCAATAAGTCTTGGTTAATATTATAATTATTAACACTATCATCATCATCATCATCATCATCATCTTTCTCTCATGGTTTGGGAAAGTGTACTGACCTCCTGTAACATATCAGAGTCTTCAATGGCTTTGACAGCAATTTTCTTGGATGTTTCCTGAATTTCTCCACCTATTATAAACTCGTCCAGGATGAAATAAGCCTTTTCAAAATTAAAGATAATATCCAGCTCGCAGACCTGGTAGAACAAAAACAAATGTTTTGATAAACTTGCAGTTGTATCAGGGGAAACATCTGCCCGAATCTCGAGCTGTTTCGGTTTGCACTCATGTGGCATACCAAAAATTAAAATATCAGATGGCATTTTAAGGACAGAAAAAAAGAACAGGGAATGCCAGGCCTTTAATAAATGGAATGCCACATTCTATTAAAGCAAAGCATGTCCTTAGATAATAATGTTTTGTGTTGCAACAGGAAATTTGAGGCTCAGTAAGGGAATGAGGCCACTCGGCTCCTCTTTCTCTCTGCACCAAGAAAACTGAGCCACAGCTGCATTCCAGGCAGGAGGGCACAGCTTCATTGCTCCTGCTCTCTGCTCTGTAAATCTTGGCTTCTAGCTTTAGAACTCTCTCAGAAACTAACTCTTCAGAGGAAAATTAACTCAACTGTGCTAATTTTTCTCAAAATTATGTCACAGCGCCAGTGGTTCTCACACTCATTCCAAAGGCTCATTGAAACACACGGTGCTGTGGCCCACCCCCAGAGTTTATGACTCAGGAGGTCTAGATAAGAACTGAGAATCTGCACTTTTAGCAGGTTCCCAGGTGATGCTGAGGCCGCTGGACTGGCGGATTTCACATCAAGAACGCCTGGCACACAGCAAAGCAGAGTCTGATAGATTTTGGTGTTTATTTCAGTGTAGCAAGTATGGCAAGATCGCTCCCATCATCCAAATAAGGCTCATTTCCCGTGCTCACACACTATCCTTGCTGTCTTACTCCCTACTTATTCCTCTACTCACTGACACCTTCTCTTTCCACACCATACCCCACCAACCCAACTGAAGCTGTTCTCTTGAAACTCTGCTCATTGAGTCTCCAGACTGCATAAATGTCTTCTTTTGAGAAGTGTCTGTTCATATCCTTCACCCAATTTTTGATGGGGTTGTTATTTTTTTTGTATGTTTGTTTAAGTTCTTTGTAGATTCTGGATATTAGCCCCTTGTCAGATGGATAGATTGCAAAAGTTTTCTGCCATTCTATAGGTTGCCTGTTCACTCTGATGATAGTTTCTTTTGCTGTGCAGAAGCTCTTTAGTTTAATTAGATCCCAACTGTCTATTCTAGCTGTTGTCACTAGTCATTAGAAAAATACAAATCAAAACTACAATGAGATACCATCTCACGCCAGTTAGAATGGCGATCATTAAAAAGTTAGGAAACAACAGGTGCTGGAGAGGATGTGGAGAAATAGGA